ACAATGATCACGAAGATCATTGGCGGAAACAGATCATCCACAAAGTTCTGCAGCACTTGTACGACTATTGAGAGGATCTGGTGACTCACCGCAATCAAGTAACTGGTCAGCGAAGTTGTCCAGTCCGTTGGAAACCAGGCCGGGAATGGCAAAGAGCGCTCCTTGCAAAACAGAAAGGAGACGCTCGACGTCACAACGCAGCAGCCATAGATATATTTATACACTGTCGACATGATGACCAACTTCCTGGCCATTTTGGCTTTATAGGAACGTTGTTCATCCGTGTCCGCACGCCTGTCCAACTGAGCCACTCGCTGCTCGATCTCCACAATCTTCTTTAGCCGAATGACAAAAATTACGAATTTCACAGAGGCAGATGCCGAGGTGAGCGATATATTGAAGTTGACTAGATTGTCCAGCGGCAGCTCGAAGCTGAACATGGCCAAGAAAAGCATCAGCGGAAACCCCAAAGTCACGAGAACATTAAGCAGCACAGCAGCCCAGTAGCGAATGGTTCCATGATTCCCGTCATACAAGTCGACGCCACCCAAGACGTAATATGATGACCAAATAATGCCGAAGTAGACGCTTTTTTCGTTGAAAATTGTAGACATAACTGTTACTGTGACTATCCAGGTCCGGCCAAGTGTTAAGCTGCTGAGCTCGAAGTTCGTGGCTTTTATAGCGCGACAGTGACAAGGATATACTTTCAAGGTAATTTTGTGCAATTATCGACATCAAAGCGAAGTCTAATTGCAGCCTGTAAATTGATTTGAGAAAGGCACGAAGGGCCCTGAACATTCCCTGTACAGACTGAAGTTCGCATTCGGTGCAGAGCAGCAGAGCTCTAGAACTAGATAACTGCCTCAAGCTCTGATATATTATGTATTATATCTCTATGATGCAAATGTAATATTTTAACGATATAGTTTTGATTGACCATAAATATCATTAGGGTGTCTTCAAGTCGGTCACTCCCGACCAGGACTTTCTTAATTATTTAATTGCGAACTTTATGCCATATGGCAAAATTTAGCAATCCAATCGGTAGGTGCACTAATTTATTTGACAGAATGATATACATATATAATTTATATTATTCATTAAGTGAACTTTATATTGATTTCGATTATATATGCTCCCCTTCTATTTCTTTGCTCCAGTGTCTGCGAGGAGAGTGCAGAAGGAATAGGCCGCCTTGCAGTTAGCGAGGAAAGTGGTTAAAGCAATTGGTATAAAATTGCCGGCAATCTGCTTAGGTAATCGCTGGGTACGCTCCGCAAAGATGAGCACGCTCTTGCGATAGGAAATGCTCTGATCGACCCAATTGCTGCTATAGACAGCGAAGTGCAAATGCCCGAACGAATACTCCACCATGGTCCCTAAATAGCAAATGGGAAATATTTGCATTGTCATGGCGAAAATGAAAGAGATAAAGTAGATTTTGTCGTTCATATTCTCGGCGTAAAATAGTAGAGCACACAGGGCGGTGCCCACATCGATGGAGATCACAACGAACTGCACCAACAAGGGGTACGAGATGATCTCCATGGTGAGCTCGTGTAGCCTAACGTAGAGAGGGAGAGAGAGAGAGAGAGAGAGAGA